CCTCGGCCACCGCTTCCTCCGTCCTGGGCCCATCACAGAGCTTCAGAAGAGCGACTACCCTCCCCAGCCGTCAAGGTCTGGGGACGGTGTCGGGCTATCAGGCCCCGTGGCCACAGCAGGACAAACACTTGACCCACCTTTGACAGGCGAAGGACTCCTCTTTCGCATTAGTGACCCTGTTTCAAGAAAAATCCAGGCGAGAGTTTTATAAAACTAGACAGCACAACCCCTTACCGACTGCACCTTCTGCGCGCCCAGCTCTCAACTCTCCGGTGAGCTCGGGAGGGACCCGAGGCCCCGGGAGCCAACCACTCACACCTCACATCTGTGTGTGTCCGAGGGCGTGGCTCTGACATAGCACGTGGGGCAGAGGTGGCTGGGGACCCCCGGGCTGTGCCTGCACCACGCGGGACCAACAGCCTCACCCCCAGATGGACCAGAGGCTCCTCCCCCCGCTGTGAGGTGCCCGGGGAAGGAAGGCTGGCTTGGAGGAGGTTGGATTGTGGGGTGCGGGAGGCTCCCCCTGCCACCCCCACACCCCTAGATCCTTACCGCACTGGAGCTCGCATGGCTGAGCTTATCAAAGCGGAATTTCAGGTTTGACCTCGGGGAATTTCTGCTTTTGGCATCTAGGAAAAAGAAGAATGCCCATGAAGAGGGTGGGGCTGCGGAGGTCATGGGCTGCTGGGGGACTGGGCAAGGAGGCCAGAAGGGACGCCTCCTCTCCACAAGACACTCTAGCTCAGTGGTCGGCAAACTGCGGCTCGAGAGCCACATGCGGCTCTTTGGCCCCTTGAGTGTGGCTCTTCCGCAAAATATCACGTGTGGGCGCACACGTACAGTGCGACTGAAACTTTGTGGCCCATGCGCAGAAGTCGGTATTTTGTGGAAGAGCCACACTCAAGGGGCCAAAGAGCCGCATGTGGCTCTTGAGCCGCAGTTTGCCGACCACTGCTCTAGCTGATGCACCAATTCACAAGAGCCAACCCTTACATTTTCACAAATGTTGTGAGCTGGTTGTACACACACAGTCACGAGTTTAGCCCTGGTCAAGGGCAGGTACCTGGGTTGCAGGTTTGACCCCCAGCCTTAGTTTGGGGCATATGTGGGAGGCAACCAATCCATGTTATTTCTCTCACATCAATGTTCCTCTCCCTCTCTCTCTCTTCCTCCCTCCTTTCCACTCTCTCTAAAAAAAAAAAAAAAAAAAAAAAAAATCAATGGAAAAAATATCCTCCAGTGAGTATTAAAAAAAAATTAATTATAAACTTATAATTAAGTGATATTCGTCAAAGGTAATAAATATTCAAAAGTCATCACTTCCTTGTTATTTCACTACATTTTACCACTCCCTATTCATTTAAAGTTATTTACACCAGTCACATTGGTGGCTTGAGATCAGCAAATGCTACAAACCAACTTGATCTGCTGTTTTGTTGTTGAGACTTCAGAAACTAATGGAGGGAATCCTATATAATAAAAGGGTAATATGCAAATAGACCGAACAGCAGAACAGCCAATTAAAGCATAATATGCTAATGATATGCTAAGGCTGTTCAACCGCTTGCTATGACGTGCACTGACCACCAGGGGGCAGATGCTCCAACCAGTAGGTTAGCTTGCTGCTGGGGTCCAGCTGATCAGGGCTGAGCGAGATAGGCTGGACACGCCCTGGAGCCCTCCCGTGGTCCATCCCTGGCCCAATCGTGCACCAGTGGGGTCCCTCAGCCTGGCCAGTGCCCTCTCGTAATCTGGGACCCCTGGGGGATGTTAGAGAGGCAGTTTCAGCCAGATCCTGCAGGCCACTCCCTTGGGAGGGCACCAGACGCAGGGGTCATGGCTGGCGAGCGCTGCTGCAGCAGCCTCCCCTGATCAGGACTGACTGGGCGCGAGCCCGCAGTAGGCACAGTGGGGCTGGGATGAGAGGGAGCGGCAGGTAAGAGCTGCAGGAGGCGCTGGACTGCAGGTTTCGGCCCCACCCCTGCAGGCCACCCAGAGGGACCCTACCCATGCACGAATTCGTGCACTGGGCCTCTAGTATTAGTAATATAGACTCAATGTGAAAGTGTGTGTGTCTATAGCATTGTGAATAGCACAGAAAACTGAGTAAATATTCTTCCAGTATTTGAGGCATGGAAAGGCTGAGTAACATGTCCAATGTCACATCGCTCATAAGTGGTGGACCCAGGGTCCTGTGCTTGCCCCCCACCCACACTGTGCTGCCCTCCTGGAGGGTGGGACCAAGGCTCTGACTTCTAGG